GGGCTGGCTGGCATGTGGTGCTGGGGGATTGAACGGCGGTCCCTGTGTTTTGCCAAGCTTGTTTCAAGTAGGTGCTTTAGACCACTGAGCCATCTCTCCAGCCCTAAATCCTTGTTTTAATTGCATAGCAACGGCAGCAAGCAATCACCAAGGCGACTCTGTCCCAGAGCACTCAAGGCTCTGACGTGAAACCTGTCTGGGAGACCCTGAGCTGGGCATAATGGGCTCTCTGGGGCCCAGTGCTCCTCCCCCTCCTGTAGGCACAAGGGTCAACAAGAGCTCTGGCAAGTGACCAGTGCCCGGAAAAGTGAATGAGCTCACCACCGCAATGCAGTCCTTCCCTAGACACTGAGAGTGGTGCCTTTCAGCAGATAAGCCCTCATTTCCTTTGGGGACTTGGGTTTGCTTGCTGAGGTGCTGAGGATCAGCCCTAGGGCCACTGAGCCAGTAGTCTCCACACTTCTGAAGCTTCGCATCTCCCTCCAGGCCTCCCTGCATCACACTACTGTAGCCTGGCTCAGGCTCCCTCCCTGATGGCCCTGGTCCTACACGTACCTTCTGGGGCCACAACATCCCCAAGGCTCCACTCTGCCACAGGCACAGCCCACACTGTATCAACAGGACACAGTGCTAACATGCATCACTCAGTGACCTGTCAACCAGCTTTACCTCACAAGGCAGATTTCCACCTAGATGCTGTGAACAGCCAATTCTTTCCTCATCACAACAATGTGCTTAACCTTCATATACCACAAAGACCGTTTGAGTACAGAATTCAGTGGTTCTGGTTCTGAGTATATTCAGTTATACCGCCACCACTGGCACTTCATTACAGAACGTCTTCATGTTGGAAAAGGAATGGAAAGGCCACCCCACTAGCAGTGACTCCTCAGCCTCCCCCAGGCCCTACCCGTCAGTATTCTACTATCTCCCTTTCTGGGATTTGCCTATTCCAATCATTTCTTGGAGACAGAATCAAGGATCACACCACGCACAGTTCTTCCCTATTTATGGCTGGGTAATACTCCATCATATGGACTTACATTTACCCATTTTTTAAAATTTTTTTCCCATAATTTTACTGATAAACAAATAGCAATGAGACAGTTTCAAATCAAATTGGTACGACAGTTTCAATAATTAACACATTGCATACATTCTTCCTAGTGGTTAATTGCTGTACAAGATGTGGACATGATATCCTATTTACAAACACCATTAGCATTTACCCATTCTTAAGCTAACAGGCCATCTTCTTGATGAAACTTTCTGCTATGAACAGGTTTTGGTGCAGATGTAGGGTTTTCTCTTGGAATGCAGACAGAAAGGAACTCGGGCCACACGGTAATACCGATGTCTTATGGGCATCAGTGTGGTCTGGTTTAATTCCCTTTCCAGTTTTGGTTCTTCTTCCATTGTCATTTTTCAAACACCTAACTACAGCTGCTGCCTGCCTACAACCCAGTAATCCTAATGCCTTTCTGCAGTTTAAATGTTTTCTCTGCTTGTTTCTTTGAAAAATCTATAAAAGAGAAATGCTTAAAAATTCTGGGCCTGGGGGCCTTGTGGGATAGATTGTTTAAAGTGCTGCTTAGGCAAATGCAGTGAGGCACATAGGACCAGGGTTCAACACCCAGCTCCAGAAGCTGCACCAGACCTGCTCTTTTTTTTTTTCTGTGGAACCTGGGATTGAACTCAGGCCCTTGTGCTTGCTAGGCAAATGCTTATTCTACTGAGCTATCTCCCCGGCCCCTAGACCTGCTCTTAAGGCGGCCTGAAGTAGCATAAAAAAACCCCAAAAAACAAATTTACAAAACTCTGGGCTAACCAGGCACAAGTTCCAGTGTAACCATAATTGTTTTGCATGCCTCAAATACTTACGGGGAAGTTGTTGTGGACGTTCAGGAGGGAAAAAATCTCCCTTTGGTAAGGCTCTCTCATCCTGAAATAAAAAGCAAAGACATCTAAGTATCCACTGCAGTACCATTTGCAGCAGCAAAACAAAGGTCAATTCTCACCAATAGACAACTAGCTGAACAAATGATGGCATATCGTGCTATGAAATACTATACAAGGGTAGGAAGGTACACACGAGCATATTTGCTACCTTCTTTGTCAAGGGGAAAAAGAGGAAAAACAGGTATATTATGAGGGGCTACCTGGGAGCTGAGTGACAAGCACAAGTAAGCACTCTATTTTCATGCTTTTTGACTTTTGAGGCACTTGAATCAAGTATGTATTTTTAAAAACTAAACTGAATGCTAAGTCAGACATGGTGCACCACAAGTTTGAGGCCAGCTTGGGCTACACACTGAGTCCAAGGCCAGCCTCAATTATACCAGGGGACCCTGCCTCAAGAAAGAAAAACTGCTTTACACTATTTTTTGTGTGTGGAACCAGGGATTGAACTCAGGCCCTTGCACTTGGCAGGAACGCACTTATTCCACTGAGCGATGTCCCCGGCTCCTACACTTCATCTTCTTCCTGAATTGAATTCTAACTAGACTGCCCTGAGAACATGCCACCCATGTTTGTATTAACTAAAATCTTTGGCTCCAACACAACAGCGCTCATGTTAGTCAGTCAGAAATGTGCTCCAACAGACAGTACTATAAAAGCTGTCTGAATCAAAGACTGACTTCTGTTCGTTACAGGGCTAATGATAACTGAACATTATATTGTTGTATTTTAAAAACTGAAAAGCTGCATGCATCTTTGAGCGATCACTTGCTCAGACAGGGCAGTCAGATGACTTCCTGAACATTTCAATTGCAGCCAACGAGGCAGCAAAGTCTCCAGGAGCTACCAGAGCTGCCAGGGCAAATGTGCCCAGCATCCCGTAAGGTCAGTGCAGTGGCCATATACTTTTTTTTTTTTTTTGCTAGACTTAAACTTACACACTGATGGAAAAAGGAACTCTACAACTTACCATTTTGACATGCATCGGTCTATCAAATAGCAGCTGACCATTAAACATAGCTGACATTATGATTAAGGCTATTAAAATTGCAAAACTTTTTTTTATAAATATTGCATAGTTACCAGCTTAAATGGTGCTCTTACAAGCCACTTCTTTATTATATTTTCATGTATCTGCTTCTACAATATGCTTCATACTCTGAAGAAAGCTTGAAGAAATTTTAGCTTAGTTTTTAGGTATGACGCTCCACTGCCACACCCTTAGTCACTGTTCCTAAGCCGCTGCATCACGGTCTCTGTACCCAACAGGCCAGGTACACTACCATCTTCTGAAGTTCATCTTTTCTATGTAAGGTACTCAGTGACAATCTTGTCTGAGTTTATTAACTCTCACAAGTAGTACCTGCAATTAATGATTTTAAAAGATGTAATTCCTGGCCAAGAACAGTGGCTAATGCCTGTAACCCCGGCTGCTAGCTAGGGAGGCTGAGCCATGAGGATGTAAAGCTTAAAGTCAGCCTGGATAACTGTGTAAGACAATATCTCAAAATGCAATTTTGAAAAAGGGTTGTGATGTGCCTCAGGAGTACTACACTTGCCTGGGATAAACACGACTTTGTACCAAGGTATGGTACCACCACCAAAAGCCAAAATCCCCCCAAAAACAAATCCCTTAAGTCTACAGACAGGAGAAGTCTTTATCTCTTCCAAAATGATTTATACCCACTAGACAGAAAGGCTCCTGTGAAGACGTTCTATGTGACGGAGAGCCCTGTTTATCTCTGGTGATTAACTTCGTGGACTTCTTTCAAACCCGGACTCCACTGCACAGAAAGTGCTAGAAGCTGGATGTGGTGGTCATGCCAGCTCTCGGGAGACTAAGGCAGAAGTGCCACAAATAGGGTTACGCAGCGATGTCAAGGCCAGCCTGAACTACACAGTGAGATCTTGCCTTTAAAAAAAAGCCTAGAAGTGACCCATCATGGGCACGTGCCCATATTCTCCACTCTACCCACCCCCTCAGCCACACCATTTTCAATCAATTCCAGCCTAGACAACTTTCATTTTTTACAGTACTGCATTCCCTGTAGGCACACAGGAAACCAGAACTTCAGGCAGGGTGTATCTTCCTGGGAAAGGACACCTCCCCAACATGCGCAAGGTGCAGGTGCTTGTGGCACACAGTACCAGGAACAAAAGCACACCAGTCACTTCTTCCTTACATAACCTATATTACTGCCTCCAACAGCAGCTGAGGTTACCCTGCTCACCCCGACCTGAATCTCTGCAAAAGGATACATATAGCTTGCACGGCTTCAATGGACTGTTCAAAAGTCACAGTGCCTATTCCACGACTTTTCCCATCTTTATCCTCCAGAATGTCTGCTCGGACCACCACACCAGCCATACTAAATACTTCCTTCAGCTTCTTCCAGCCAACTTTATAATCCAGCTAATTGAGAGAAGGGAATGAAAACTTCAATGTAAATTTCTAAGAAAACATTTTCACTATACAAACAAATACTCTGAGGAAACAATCACTAGATGAGAGCACAGAAATGAATGCACTGCAGTGGAATTTTTCAAACAAAATTATGAAGCCCAATCTCAACTACTCTGTTTATTCTTTTTTTCCACAAGAACAACTTACGGTTCCCCTCTCATCCTTCCAAAGTAACACTTTTATTTTATGACTATCTAAAAAACAGGGGGGCTGGGGAGATGGCTCAGTAGAATAAGCACTTGCCTGGCAAGCGCAAGGTCCTGAGTTCAATCCCCAGTATCCCCCAATAAATAAATAAATAAATAAATAAATAAATAAATAAAACAGCACTCCCCTGCTACGGCGTACCACCCACCCCTTTTCCTAACAATACTTTCCTTGCGGACACAAAACGGAGAGGCAGGGGTCAGCACACTGCCTCTGTTCACTCTCTGTGTAAATCCACAGAGAATGCAGAGCCAGCTGCCACTTTTGTAAAAACCTGCGAACCTCAGTGACTGTGGGGTAAATAAGACTACAGCCAAGCCTGTGACTTAGGAATACAGTGGTCACTAGGACACAAAGTCTAGCCCCAAGGCCAGTCTTCATCAATTATGCCAAGTGTGGTGGCACATACACAGCACTTGGGATGCGGAGGCAAAAGGCTTGCTACAAGTTCAAGGCTAGCCTGAGCTACCAAGTGAGTTCAAGACCAGCCTGAACTGCACAGGGAAAACCGTATCTCAAAAAGAACCCCCTATGGGCCCGCCTGATAGCTCAATGGACTAAAGCACCTGCTTTGGCAGAACAAAGAGTGCCTGCCTGCCTGCAGGCCCAACGGCTGCACCCTCAGGGCGTGCTGAGACAGCAATTGAGACTGGGCCTGTGGTGGTGCTCATGGGTAACCCCAGCCATTGAGAAGCTGAAAACAGGAGAATCACTACAAGTCTGATCTGTGTAGTGAGACCCTGTGGACCCTGTCCTAAATACAGAAGGGAAAAAAAAACAAATAACCTCCTCAAAAAAACCCAAAACTATAAATCAAGAAGTCAGTGAGTGTAACCCTCATTTAAATTTTTCTTCCCAAATGACAGAATCTTTTAAAATATATGGGCAGAAGCTACTCATAAAGTCCTGCATATTTTCTACTATAGACAATAATCCCATTTACTTACATTTGCTACAAATACTGTGCTTCCAAGTCTTCCAGCCTGCAATGCATGGATAATCTCATTTGGGATGTTAGGATTATTTAGGATACTGGGTGGGATATTAATCATTCCTGGGCCACCTGGTCCCATACCCATCCCACCAGTCGTAGCCATCACCTTTTGCATTGCTCTCCTGGCATGTTCACCATCAGGATCCTGAAACAAGCACAGAAGTGTTACGCGGAACCAACCTAGTGACAGAACCAGATGTGCATGCTAATATTTCCAGAATTTCCAAGATTGAAATGCTGTTTGGAAGACATTTCTCAAATATATTAACATGAAAAATGAATGAAACAAGAAAGAAAAACCAGGCATGGTGGCACACGCCTATAATCCCAGCACTCAGGAAGGAGGCTGAAGAGGATTGCCTCGTGTTCAAGGCCAGCCTGAATTACATAGCAAGATTTTGACAGAGACAAGTGGAGAAAACAGAGCATAAACTTTAGTGTTGAACATACAACCCTCAACCAAACTACAGAACAAAAGACAGCTATCATAATTAGCTGACCCTATGGGCATCCCCCAACGAAGACAGCTCTTGGCTGAGTACAGCCAACTCTTACTGATTAATACAGTGGAGTTCGTGTAATTTTGGCAAAGCTGTCAATGATCTTTCTAGAAGTCTGAAAACAAAACTCTACATCCTTCACATGTTCATCCCTTAAGCACTCTGGGTGGACTCACTCATGCACATGACGTCTGAGCACAGCACAGCTAGTAGGGTGTGAAGCTCTGGTACTGACCCACACCTCCCAGCTCTGTGCTACTATGCTCAGCCATGAGACCTCATATCCCCACACTCTCCCTCCCTCGAAGCTCTGAATACATGGTCTGTCCTTTCCGAGAAGGATGCAGACATTTAAGGGGAGATACAATCAGCAACCAAAACACCTCTTCACAAAGACAGAAGTTTGATATGGTTCAGCTTTGTAAGAAATTTTATTTTATTTTTTTAATTTTATTTATCTGGGGGGGCAACTCAGCCCACCAGGGGGTGGGGCTGGCTGGCATGTGGTGCTGGGGGATTGAACCATGGTCCCTGTGCTTTTTTGCTAAGCTTGTTCTAAGTAGGTGCTTTAGACCACTGAGCCATCTCACCAACCCCAATAAGGATCCCCCACCTCCTCGAATGCCTGCAGGGCACTTTTGGCTGGCTGGAGTGTTGTGGGGAATCGAACTACAACAACCTGAGGCTGACAGCTTTGTGGAAGCAGCCACTTAAAGAACTGAGCTAGGGGGCTGGTGAGATGGCTCAGTGGTCTAAAGCACCTACTTAGAACAAGCTTAGCAAGCACAGGGACCGCGGTTCAATCCCCCAGCACCACATGCCAGCCAGCCCCGCCCCCTGGTGGGCTGAGCTGGCC